TTTTGTCAAGAGGACGAGCTTTAACCGTACAAAACATCTACTGAACCCTGACATTTATACAATTTTAAAAACAAATTCTATTTGGTCTATTTTCCAAAAATAACAGACTCATTGCATGTACTTTATAAAGTATTTCTCAACAGTGTCTGAACTGCTAATGTTTTTACTATCAACTGACATACAGTAAAGGTCCTGGAGAATGATCTGGATATTAAAATTTAAAAGAAATTTAATCTGGTCCTGACCTAGATTTAAATGGCAAGAAATAAATTGAAAACTGATGCTTAAATAGAAATCGTTTTACTTTTCTATAGCAAAAAAAATAAACATAAGAAACTGTAACTCCAACATCTTTGTTACATGTGTAGCAGGTTTGGTGTTCATTCAACAACCAAATGAGAAGTTTTAGATGTTTAGATTGAAACAAATCCAGGCAGGAATGCTTTTATATATTTGGTCATAAAACTACATTTTTTTCCCCAAAACCAAAACAAGTTTCTTTCTTTTTTTTTTTTTTTTTAAGCACCCTTTATTTAATTACACAATACTCTAATTATCCAAAACTACAATTACACAATAATATATACAAAGGGATGTAGAAGAGCCTCAAACAGGAAGCTTCAGGTTTTTAGAAAGGTCACATTCTACTGAATCCAATGATATGGACCAATCTGAGACAGAAGCAGCAGCGAATCGAAGGCGAGAGTAGCAGAGATCCATGTGAATTACATACAGGCACAGTTTCCATATATGGGCATGCCGTTGCACCTTATGCCGGTTAGACTAAGAAGCTTTTAGCTGAATAATAAGCCATCAGATGGATATATTTATTTCGGAAACTGAATTTTATTTGGATGAAAATATCTTCCGGATAGCTGTTATGTGCTGTAGTCTGTTTTTGCTGATGTTTTTTGAGGATTTTGTAGAGTCGTCAGTTGCAAATAATCGGAGCTTTGCTAATGAGTTTGACTACGGCCGATTGAGTGCCTTGTTGGCTTTCATCAGCAATGCATCATTTGGCGCTGCCATGTGTATTGTTGAAACCAGGCTCACAGACACACAAACTTGGTCGTATACTGTATTTTGGCTATCTGAATGCTTTTTGTGGATATATGAATAAAGTAGAGACCCTTGTAGAGGAGTCTTGGATGACTATCTGGACATAGGAGAAGTGTGTGTCAGTTTCAGAACTAATCAGCTAAAGGATTATCATCCAGCCCCCTTAAAAGGTGGCACATACAGGCTTATGGGGTTTAAATTGGGGTGGAACTCCTGCTATTAGGCGCAAACATGCAAATGTCTTGCTATTAGGAGGTTTGCACGGAAACCTCCTAATAGCAGACTGAAGGAGAAGATAATAATAAACAGACCTGCAGGATAAAAACTCTAAAATTCCTGACACTGAGAACAACATGTGCTCACATTACAACGGTACATTTTATTCATCAGACGACATTGGAGGATATTTTTCCAGACAAAGCAATCTGTCACCACTGTCCAAGTTCTCTAATTTCCCCAAATGGGACTAGATAAGTAAATGCGGATGCATCAGAGGAAAGCAGAGGAGTGCTTGTTAGAAAGATATATTTCACTGCCTAATTATATAAAAATCTGGGATGGAGTTATGCGTAAGGGGACATTTGTTTTTCGCTTTTCAAACTAATCAGACAGACTGGAAGACACATTCAGCCAACCATGGCCACGATGACAGTTAAGACAACAAAGTCTCATCTGTTTTACCGCAGAAAGTTGAAAGTTGGTATATTTGTGAGATCAGTAAACTGATCTCACAAATATACCCCCATTGTAGGACCGTCTGTAGGAGACGATCAAAACACTTGTAAAATACCAAATACTTGATTAGATTAAATAATTATGGTATAAAAGATTCAATAATACACTGCCTGACCAAAAATAGGTTGCCACCAAAATATAGGTCACACTTAAATTTCATTGGACCACCTCTAGATTTTCAGTTTCAAGTTTCAAGAATTTATTGTCATTGTCAAAAAAAGGCAACGAAATTGTGTTTGGGGTACAATACTTAGTAGCAGCAAGTTCCAAATAAAGTGCACAAGAGGTAAAAGTGACACCAGTGCTTCACCCCCCCAGCCCCCCCCCCCTCCATCCTACTTAAAGTGCAGCAAAGATTATTAAGTGCCATAATGCTTGCCCCCCCCAACACACACACACACACACACACACACACACACACACACACACACACACACACACACACACACACACACACACACACACACACACACACACACACACACACAGGATAAATACACAGCTCCCCAACCAGACTATAATAAGGGGGCCCTAATGAATAAGGCAAAACATTAAGAATTTAGAAAGTCCGTTCCTCAAAAGTCCTGTGAATTCAAGAGTCTTATGGCCTGGTGGTATAGGCTGTTGGCCAGTCTTTTGGTCCGGCTCTGAAGGGACCTGTACCTTTTACCTGAGGGTAGGAGTTGGAACAAGTGATGGGCAGGATGGTGGCTGTCACGCATGATGTTCTGCACTCTCCGTAGACAGCGTGTGGTGAAGATGGAACTACAGTAATCTCTGGGAGAGGCATTCCATTGATTTTCCCTGCTGTTTTCACCACACGCTGGAGTGCCTGCTGGTCTGCTTTGGAGGAGCTAGAGAACCACACTAGGAACCCATAAGTCAGAACACTGCTGATGGCACAGTTGTAAAAGTTCACCAGCAGTGGCCTGGGGATGTGGTAGCTCCTCAGCTTCCTCAGGTAGAAAAGGCGCTGCTGGGCCTTCCCAACAGCAGAGGCGATGTGAGTGCCCCAAGACACTCTAGATTTGATTATGACATTATGTGTTGCATAATATTTGACCAAGATCTGACATTAATGATGGTAGAGTGTGCCTTCTGCAGCACATCCCAAAGATTTTTAACTTGGTTGTTTCTGCACTCTCCTTAGATGTTTTCTCTGCTTGATTCATGCCAATGATTTGACCCTTCTGAAACACCGACATCTTTTCCAAAACCACTGGATGTTTCTCTTGACATGGTAGTAATTATCCAATGGAAGGCTTATACCTGTTGGCTTCTTTAATTCCATGTGGCAGCTTTTATTTGGCCAGGCAGTGTAACATCAGTAGAAGGGGCATTTTGTTAGCAAGAAAAAGTATTCACATGAAAATTAAACCCTATATAAAGAGAATGACAAAAGTTTAGATTAAATTCCAGTTTTTTTCTGTATTGTGCAATATGTTTGGGTGTTTGCATCAGCAAAAAAAAAAACAAAAAAACATTGAGACATGGCTATAAGCAGCCTTTTTTATTGTCCAGAACATGATGTGGCGTCCTTCTGTACAGCCTGGTCTAACATCACCCACTGTTTTATTGCTGCACATGTTAATCTTCGCCTAATAAAGCTGCCTTTTTGCAGTGGCTGCTGTTCACATCTTTAAATCTCTTTGCTTCTTGCTTGTGTGGGTTTTATGCACTGAAAAAAATTGCGTTTGCAGATTTTTCCAGATGGTATTTAAAAGCTTTATAAATTCCTAAATCGTTATTTGTTGTTTCGTGTCTCTAGTATGTGATTTTTTTTCTACATCAAATATTGTCAATTAAAATCTAAGTGAACCATGGTCAACTAAGGTTACAAAGGTTGCAAGTAAAAGGAAATTGCAGTTTTTGATGATATCAAAGCAGTATTATAAATCATATTTTAGATTAGACTATATGGTTTCTATCAAGATAATCTACATTTTAGGACATTAAATAATAATACGTATTATTAATTATTTTGCCCGTTTGACATTCGGGACAAAGCTCTGATTCATATGTCTCTTTTAATACTGTTTTATAGAACAACAAATATTTTACTATATATCGCAAATTGCCATGTTTTCTGTTTACCAAAAGTCAAAATTGTGATTACTTTCAAACAGTATTGCGATTTTTTTAAATGATTCTTTCCTTTGCACTAGCCACAGGCATGTAGATGTTTCATTTCAGGGTTTCAGTTTTTTCATGACCCAATCCTCCTTGATTTTTTTTTATGCTTATGGATTTTTAATCCTTATGGATTAAAAATATCAAGATATTTCATTTGGTAGCAGGCACTGAATTAAAGTCCCGTTATTGATCATTTTTCTGCATGTAAATCATTTCAACATTTCTAAAGTCATACCATGTTGATCATCCATAAAGTGATGCTGGACAGTCAGGAGTTTGATGGCTTTGGTGAACTGAAAGATGATGCTACTATGGTTGGAAATAGTTTTTATGAAGTAAGCTTTGCACTGAAGCTATAAAATCATTGGGCAACTGCAGTTGATGTTTATTAGACTGTTGATCTGTGAGATTAAATTAAACAATAGAATCGACTTAGAAGCAAAAAAAAAAATGTAATAGCAGAGAAGAACTAAAGCAGAAAATACAGAATCCATCTGATTTTTGCATTAGCTTCCTTTTTGTTTTGCCATTTTTTCATTTATTTACAGTGTCAAGGTTGTATTTTAAAAGAGAGGTTTAGCATTTAATGCACGCCGACCGCATTTCTGCATCCTTATGTTTTATTTCCCAGTCTATTTATCAGCTTCCTGTTGCCTGCCAGCAGTTTAAGGTAATTTATTTACACAAATGTGCCAGTACAAAAAAAAAAAAAAAAAAAAAAAATCAGGGCTATTTGAAAGATCCTATTCATTACCATTCAAGGATTCTGTAGGTTTACCATGAAAATATGGCACATCCTGCCTTTAGGTTCCTTTAAGTGCTGCATAATGAAAGGTTAGCAGTCTGTTCTACCTAGATATTCAAAGAGGCAGATGCTTTTACTTCCACCGACTGGATTCAGCCTTTCAGATTTGCAGGTTAGAGAACTCGTAAGTTTTGTTATCACTTTGTAAAGCAGCCAGACAACATTCCAGTTAATGAAGGTGTGGGAGGATCCAACCATTCAGTAATCTGAATGTAATCTACTGTCTACCATTTCCTTTAGTTTCCCATGCGTTCCTTTGTGTGTGCAGGTCGCAGGGTCCTCGCATGATGTCCAGATACACAGGTGAGCAGCTCTCCAGCACCACTGTGAGTGAGGCCTCCACCGCCATCACCTCCTCCACTGTGGACTCCACGTCTGCCTCAAAGGTTGGTGGACATGACTGTGCTTGTCTATAAGATCAATGCGCTCGGGTCAGGCATCACCCTATGACCACAAACATCGTAGATTTACTCGGTGACAAACTGACTATAATTAGCTTCACCACAAATTGATGCGAGCGTGCATCAGATCCTTTTCCTTCAAATGTTGTGGTTCAGATATTTAGTTCAGAAAGATCTCTCTTTGTAATTTAATGTGGCTGTATATGGGATAAAACAAATATGTAAGGGTCTACTTTCTATCTGCTCTATTAAGTTATAACCAGGTGAACAAGCACACAGTCAACCAAACATTCAGCCGTAAAAGGTTTTCTGTTTTTCCTTCAGGCTCCTAATTTACAGGTGTCCAGTAGTGCTTCGCTGTTTTTACCTTTTTACAGAACAGATGCTTGTCTTATTGTTTCATGCAAAGCGACTTGTATCATTTTTTTTATGCCATCTAAAAACAGTGCACTGCATCAGTGCTGTTGTACACACCAGGCCAGACTAAACACGGCTGGGGAAGCTAACTTACTTCCTGTTGGTTACTAGACTATCAGCTGTCTTTTCTTTTTCTTCCTCCAAGCTCATGAAGTCTAAAGGTAAATACCAACTCATCTGCAAGGAATGTCATTATTGGCTGTCCTACAAGTCGCTGCATGATGTCATTACCTAATTTGAGTATTAAGGAATGTGCATAGATCATATCAATCCTTCTCCCAAGTGTCCAAAGTAACACTGTTGGGCTAATTTGTTTCTCTAAAATGTCCCATGAGGTCATCATTGTGTGTACTGTGTGTGCACAGTGACAGGGGGAATGGTGATGTTCATGCTTGCATTTGTTGAACAGACAAAATAAATCCCCCTGTGGAGGAAATGTCCAATACCAAGTGTTAAAAATGCAAAGAAATATTGTATACCAAGAGGACTACAGTTTGAGTAACGCTCCGGAGTAGAGCTGCATCTAACGACTATTTGGCATATCATTTAATTTCGTCGATTTTTTTTTCTTCGATTAATCAGTTAATAATAGGATAGCAAAAGGTTCTTTAAAGAAGAACTTTAATGAAGTTAAACCAGGTGGAACTAAAACTTTTTCACTTGAGGAGTTCTGGATAAAGCATATTGACAGATGAAAACCTTTTTTTTTAACATACAATTTTGTATCTTTGCTGGTCCAGGTGGGTGCGCTATCAGCATGTTTTAGAGTCTCTGAACTCTAGTAAACGATTAACTGATTACTAAATTGACAATCCTAATATTACTGGTAAGCATTTGTATTATTTTAACTATGAAAAGATGTTTTTCAGGTATCATAAATACATTTTCAGTCAAGCTTATAAATGTCAGAATGGCCACTTAAAATGTGAAAACATTACTAGATATACGTATAAAACTTAATTCTTACTAATATAATTTCGTTTTTTCTTTTACTTTCTAAAATTCGGTTTCTGCTACAAAAATGTAATTTAGAGAATACGCTGTTACGGTTACAGTAGGTTTAGGAGTGTGATTTTGATCAGGAAGAATCTTATTTTAGTGATCTACAAATGGAACAACAGAGAAAAATGCTTTTAATAAATGTAAAAACGGCCTGCCAAAGCCCACTTCATATAAACGTACGCATTAACCGGAGCAACAATCTGCTCCTTCGTCATCTTCCTCTCCTATGTAGCTGTAGCACTGTTTCTCTGTCTTTTAAACACATTCTCCTTTTTTATTTTTATTTTGACTCGTCGAATCAGTGCTCCAGTGATGATGGCTTTTCGTACATGTTGCGCATGCGCTTAACTCTGAGCGGACCTAGTTAAAATTGATTGAACTAATTGATAGCAGCCGTTGCGAAACCGAACACTCGAACCGACATTAGGCTGGATCCTTTAGAGTTGCGGATTTGAATCTGAATTTATTAGACCTCAGGTTTTTATGACATTTTGCACAGTAACATAAAGACGGCACCCTTAATGCCCAATTTCTAATTTCTCTGGAAAAAACAAGCTGATTAAGGGTTAAGTAAACAGATATTCTTGTAATCTTAAAATCTGTGTAGGTTATATCCCGGCTGCCATTGAAGACAAACTATAAACATCAAAATGTTCCTCTCAATAATCTGGTTTGCTGTGGAAATCAAATAATGTGCTGAAGCAGCCCAATGTAAGGAGCTCCAACTCATTTCACGTTCAGGGCCTTTCACATTTAGCAAAGTTAAGATCCTGCTGTGGCTTTTTGTTGCTATTAGTTTATGGCTCCTCCTCGCTCTAACACGCTTGTCTCCAGCTCCAACACTGCTCCACAGTTGCAAGTGATCCGGCTCCATCAACAGGTGCTGCTGGACGCAGATTGAACTTGTGTCACCGAGTGGGGCGTAAAAATGACAGGACATCCATCAAGACACTCAGTCATGGCTGCCAAGCAGAGTGTTTTATCGGGCCGCGGCCGTCCCAGGTGCTCTGGCTCATCTGCCCCTGTCATCAGACGGCGGCAAAATAGCCCAGAAACCCCATACTGACAAGAGCAGCTCCTCAGATAGAGGCCTGTCTCGGAGAGAAGATGAATAATTCCTCTCCCCTCTCATGCAGTGTACAGCCATCACCACATGAAACCACAGTCTGAATAAGTCATATCTATTCCTCCTCTGACAGGGAATCAGAGGCTGTGCTGAAACAAAAATTACCCTCCTCCACCCCAAGAGTAATGTGTCACAATTCTCTTTTCAGCACTTGTCTTCTCCTTCTGCTAGATTCTTGTTTTGTTATTTTAAGTTTTTAAAACCAGCCTTCATAATATCTTGGAATGGGATTTATCAGAGGAACCTGTTGCTGGTTATGTGTTTTATTATCTTCATCACCTCCTTTTACTCCACTCTTTAACAGCTCTATTCAATGTTCAAGAAAGAAAAAAGGAAACAGTTAATCTACTTTTGTTGCTAATTCTGTAATCCTGAAATGTGCAGAAATATGCAGAAGTATTTAAAAAACCCTGTTATGCTGTGAAGTGAACTGCCCATATCTTTGGAGTTTGCATTGCTTCTACTCCTGGTGAGTGTCCCCAAAGTTGTCGGATCATTATCAGTTAAATTAATCAGAAAGTTGGTTCAATTTTAGCTTCAGGCATCCAGCATACTAGCTGGGTGAAACGTATGGATCAAATAGGATTAGATTATGTAAAGATTAGGGCTGCAACTAACGATTATTTTTACATATTGATAAATATTTATTCTTTTTTCAATGAATCTATTAATAAATTGATAATAGGTTCCTTGTAAAAGCTTTTTTTATTAAATTAAACCACGTAAAACTAAAACGTTTCCAGTTGAGGAGTTCTGGATAGAGCATATTGACAGACAAAAATGGTTTTTTTTTATTCTTAAATTTAAAATGTTTCTATATTTTTTTACAATCCTGGTATAATTACTGCTCTAAGTGGGAATCTTTGTCAGCTACAGGCATGCTCTACAGTCTCTATACTCCATTTAACGATTGATTGATTACTAAATTAGTTGACAATTATTTCAATAATAGATTAATCAGGATTTATCATTAATTGTTTCAGCTCTAGTAAAGATATTACTGGTTTAATTTAGTTGCTATGGTAGGAAAATGACATTATTAAACAAAGCATTCGTTTAATATCCCCCACTATAAAATGGAAAAAGGATAAAAGATATTTTTTTGTGTAATTTTAACTGTGTTTGCATCTATCATTATTAACTTCTATACAGTCCTCTAAAAAATAGCTATAGAGGTGGACTCATTCATTTTAAGTAATTCCTTCTTGGGTCTTTTAAATGTAAAGTGAGAATGTTTTAAAGCAATGCTTTCTTTCTTTTCACCTCTCTGTTTCAGTCACCTTTTAATAGAGTGTGAGCTTATTCAGTTTATGCTGAACTGTTTAGGCCTCTGTCAAACCTTTGCGGAACTCTTTATCCATCCATCCATTTTCTAGCAGGCTTATCCCGAGTGGTGTAACGAGGGGTGCTGTTGCCTTCTTCAGCAGTCAATGGGCGAGAGGCGGGGTACACCCTGGACAGGTCGCCAGTCCAACACAGAGACAAACAACCATTTACACATACACTCTCTCCTAAGGGGACTGTAGAGAAGCCAATTAACCTAACAGTCATGTTTTTGGACTGTGGGAGGAAGCCGGAGTACCTGGAGAGAACCCACGCATGCTCAGGGAGAACATGCAAACTCCATACAGAAAGACCCCAGACCAGGAATTGAACCCAGAACCTTCTTGCTGCAAGGAAGCAGTGCTACCCACTGCCCCACCGAGCAGCCTGAACTCATGTATTTTTTTAATTTTGGGCTTATACATAGCGTATTCATAACGAGTCAAGAACTTATGTCCAACAACAGCCTGATTTATGCTTAGTGCATTGCAGCGTAATGCCCATGAAATGATGCACAAGCCAGCGTCCAGAGGGGGGCAGCAATGCCTGCAATGCTGTTTACCACCCGCCAAAAAAAAAAGAAGAAAAAAAAAAAAGGAAAAGAAAAAAAAAAGGTTTGCTGTGGCAGCAGATTCAGCATCATGTCTGCTAGGAAGATTGTTGGCATGGGCGTGAACGCAAGGAGGATCCTTCAAACTTCTTGCCCACCCTATGATGGGGACGAAGTCTGGAGAAGAACTGATGGTTTCCTCCTCTGAACCCCCTTTCATACCAAAACACTGCCAGTACGCCATTATACAGTAGCTGTAAGTTAGAAACATGTTCAGCGGTCGTCTGGAAAATGTCCAATTCGTTTATATATGTGTTGGAGATAAGTTGTTGATAAGTTACGCATAATTTATGCATATGTTAGTCATAGGATTTGGATAAGCTAGATGCCACGACTCATACAGTAAGTAAATTACACTTAATGTATGTCAACGATCAGATGACTTTCCTGTAACTTATGCCCCACGCATGGCATATGCTAGCTGACGTACTCGCCGTATGTCAACTAGGGATGGGGATCGAAACCCGGTTCCATCAAGGACCCGGTTCCACTTTTTTCAAAACCCGA